CTTTACCCTTTGGCGTCTCCTTAACTTCATCCCTTTCCTTTTGAATATGGACAACATTGCATTGCTCCTTTGGATTCACCTCGGTATTGCTCGGAAATTGTCCTCTCTGCTGTAGACTTCCAACTGCCATGGCCAATTGCCCAATCTGTTGTTCCATTGTCTTCATCTGTGCATCATTCTCACTCATACATTTATCCGTTCTAGTCATGAATTTCTCGAAAATATCCTCCAACGAATGCTTTTTCGGCTCATTGATGACCCCGTTGGTCACCAAAAATCCAGGAAGTGGTTGTAGAGCATTATTCGGATTTGCATATGAAAAACTGGGGTGATTCTGGTTGCCTTGGTAATAAGTGTTTCCCGCTTGAGGTCTTTGAAAATTGCCAAAATTACGGTCATTCAGATAACTCACATCCTCAACCGACTCCCCAAATACTACGCTCTCATTCTTCTCCACTTGCAACTTATTAAGAACAATTGCGGTCGCTTGAGCTACCATTGTCGCCACTGAGTCCATCTCATTTGTAGTTGGCACCCTTTTAAGCATATTTCTCTCGACGGGCCATTGGTAGCTATTTGCCGCCATCTCCTCAAGAATCCTCATTGCGTCGATTGGTCGTCTTTCCAAAAGAGCGCCTCCAGCTGAGGCATCCACCATGGCCTTCATCGGGCCACTCAATCCATTGTAGAAGTAGCAAATTTGGTGCTCCTCTGAAAAACTATGCTGCGGGCACGTCCGAAGGAGTTGCGTGTAGCGCTCCCAAGCCTCATATAAAGGCCTATAATCATGTTGCTTGAATTGAGTGATCTCCGTCTGAAGTTTCAACATCTTACTCGGTGGGAAGAACTTCAAGAGAAATTTCTGACGCATTTCCTCCCATGATGTCACTGTCCCGGCTTCAAGAGAATTGTACCAAACCTTGGCCTTATCTCTAAGAGAGAAAGAGAAAAGCCGAAGCCAGATAGCATCCTTCGGGACTCCATTGTACTTCACCGTACCGCATATCTCCAAAAATTGCGCCAGATGCGCATTCGGGTCCTCGATTGTAGCTCCCCCAAACTGCTCCTGCTGAACCATTCGGATCAAGGACGGGCTCAACTCGAAAGTGTTAGCTGCAATTCTAGGCCCGTGACCTCCTCCGTATACTTGGTCCGCTTGAGGTTGGAAGATGTTCCGTACCGGTGTTCCAGCCTCCTGTTGAGCCTGCTGCTCAGCTAGTTGACGTTGTAGCTCTTCCAGTTGTGCTTGAAGCAACCTATACCTCTCTTCACCTTGTTCCTCCATTGCACCTCTCAGTCGTTGTTGTAGTCTCCGGTTTGCGTTGTTCCTTCGGCAACTAGCTTCAATCTCGAGGTCAAATTTCGCGGGTGAATTCCCACTAGACCTCGTAATCATGCATGTGCCTGTCAAAACACACAAACCAAAAAGGATGCAATTAAGAACCAAAGTATTAAACAAAAATAAAAATGACTAAAGTAATATCTACCCGTCTTCTTCTAATATTATTTAATTTTAACAAAACAATCCCCGACAACTGCGCCAAAAACTTGTTCGCAAAATATTTTCACTACCCGCAAGTGTACGGTGTAGTTGTAGAAAGCGGCGAGCGCAAGGTCGTATTCCACAGAGATTGTTGTTAAAATAATTAAGTACCAAAATATAGACGATTAAATATTATTTAGACTAACTCAAATTTAAATGGTGATTTTGATCTAAACTAATGAATGCTTGCAAAATAAATTCTAACACTAAAGAAGGCTTATTCTAAATAAATCAAGTATGAGAAAATAGATTCTAGGCTATGCTTTCCTCGGGATTATTCTAGCAAAGTATTCACATTCATTCAAACCTTATTTTATTCTACCAATCGTAGGGATAATCGCTAAATTAATTTACACCTTTCTCTCGAACAAGTTAAATCGTAGATATTAATTGTTATCTATCTCCTCTCGGTCTCAAGATAAACAACTAACTCCCATAAGCTCCTAAGATTCTAGTTCCCTCGCAAGATTCTATCAACCTCTCGGTCTGTTTAGTCTCTTACGTTATGAATTTCCCAGTTCTAGCAATCAACTATATCCTCTCGGTCTCAAGTCAATCACAAATATGCATAAATACGGGCCCTATATTCACACAATTCATATAAGCACAAGAAATCGATAAACAAAAGGTAGACCAGAATGAATAAATAAAATCACTTCATAAAATAATCCAAGTACTCACAAATCCTAGAATCTCAAAAGATTTAGCTACTAAACATATTCTCAATACTCAAACTAAATAAATCCATGAGTTCAATGAAGAAGAAAAGAGAAAAGAAAGAAGAACTATTGTCGCCGTTAGTTCCCAGATCTTCAATCTTGACTTCCTCGAATCTCCCGTGTGTTTCGTGCTATCTCTAGGCCTTCAATGGTGTCAAAAGTCCCAAAACCGTGTTCTCCAAGTTCCTTATATACTGTAGGGCAAAAAAGGGTCGTAAAAGGGATAAAATCGCGTAGGAATCCTATTTCTTGCTGGTCACTCTGCGCATCACACGACCCGTGTCACATGCCACACGAGTCGTGTGACTTTTCTCGAACTTTCGGCCAACTCCCAGACTCACACGACCGAGTCACACGACCCGTGTGAGGTCACATGACCCGTGTCACTTGACACACGAGTCGCGTGAAAAAACCGAAGCAAAATTCCTCAATTTCGTCATCTTTTCAACCTATTCACACGAGTCGTGTGACCTGCCTACACCTCGTACCTGCCTGCACCTCGTTTTTGCCGTTTTTCATCTCAATTTCATCTTTAACGCTAATTCGGGTATATTTCTTACAAAACCAACGACAAATGTACCTCTATCATAGATTAATAAATCAAACAAAATGGTGCACAATCCCATGATAAACACGGTTAAACATCACACTATATCACTCATAATGCATGAAAACATGATGAATGTCAGCAGGGCACTCAGGGCACTCTCGACGTCGCGTAAATTTCCACGAGCTCGCGGGCATGCATTGAGAGCACTCTCGACATCGCGGATTTTTCCGCGAGCTCGCGGGCGCGCGGCTGGGAACGTGGGCGCGGGCAGGTGCGTGGGAATGGTCCCGGTGACCTCTTGATGCTCGATTCGCTCTAACTTCTCGCATGCTTCTCCGATTGACTTGAAACTTCGACCCACGCTTCTCAAATCTTCTTCTTTTCGTCTTGAAATGCATATGGCTCGGAAATGGTTCGTATGGCTAGGATATGGTTCGAACGGCTCAGAAATATCTCAAAAATGGCTCGTTTCCCAAGTCATAGTAATGATGGATCTATTCAACACCAAAAGACAAGAAAGATACGACGAACCACAAAAACACAATACGAGAATAAAAATGCACGAAACACGGTAAAATGGATCGGTCAACACTAAAACCAACCTAAAACCGACTCGACTACACACATAGACACACGAAAATAGGCACAAAAACACAATAAACACGTGGGGGGGGGGGCTAGAAGGGTCTTGATAATCGGCAAGATCGGTGAAAATTCTATTTGCAAACCTTGTGTTTTTGGTGAAGTTTGCATTTAGTGTGCTGAGGAAAATTGGCTGGTGTACGTGGAAAAAGAACTATGTCGCGAGATATGCGAGACAGTGGTGGTCGCGCTATGCGGACGAGATCTAGGCGACTAGGACGCCTGTTGCTAGGGTATTCTTTAAAAGTTTGGCTTTTATTTTCTGACAATGTCATTTTGAATAAATATCATGTGTTACTTAAGTGTATTTTTGCAGTTTAGTTATTTGTGCGAACATAGTTCCTTTATTTTACATTGGAGTTAATATGGGTCGATGTGTCAAACAGAAAAATCATATTATCGGTGTATTGTAAAATATATATTTATTATTCACAGCTCAGGTGAAATTGAACTAACTTTCATGAAAGGTTGTGGTGTGATTTTGAATCAGTTGGTCTTTGACTAATTAATTACGGTAGTACATGTCGGTTGTATTGGACGGGCCTACGGAAGATAAGATTATTTTTTATTGACCAAGTAAATAATATAGGCCTCAGTAATTGTTGCGTTCTTTTAACCCTTAAGATAATATAAACAGGCATATGTATTCGGGACCTTATTATTAGATTTACCATTGGTGAGGCTTATTTAGGTAGGCCGCCAGACTCCATATTTTGGTAAGTAAGGGATGAGTACATTATGTGTTGTTAAGATTAATTACAGTAACTATGTCCCGATTTGCTGGGTTGATGACGTCCTCGAAATGAGATCAACAAAGTTTATTAGGTTAAGTCTTGCATCCCTTATATTGTCTTCCCGATTGAAGGCTCTTAATCCTGGACCGATAATGCTCGACCACCATCGGACCTGCTACGATTCCGCTCAACCAGGCGGCTCGCTCGGCTTAGTCGACCAGTTTATTCTCATAGGTATGGTACCCTATATCAATAGTAGTTCTTGTAATAAACTTATATATTAATTAAATATCTGAACACTTGAAAATTTACAAATATTTAATTAAATAATAAATACTTTATAATTTTTCATGTTATTTAAATATGTATTTTTTATAGTAAAATTATTTTTAAATATAATAAAATCTATTTAAAAAATTGTACCGAAGTACTTAGTAGGTGACACCTCCCCATTAATTTTTACGTTATTAAAAAAAATTATATAACGTAAAAACGCTCATATTCCCCTGTCAACTAAATTTCCATGCATGACTGACCACCTTTAACCCCCCCTACAATTCCTAACAGCCTTTCTTTTTTAATTGAAACAACTCCTAAAACACAGGTTTTAATTCCCAACCACAAACCATGAAACCAACCCAAATCTTCCTATATATATATATATATATATAATTCCCCACACCAATCTTCCCTATACATTCATCTCTCGGAGTTCAAGGGGAATTGAAACAATAAAACAGCTTAGAGGACCCCTCAGAGCTCTGTTAAAAAAACCAAAACATAATCCTCCTGTAAATAAAATAAAATAAAATATGGGTAGTGATTCCAAGAAGAAGGTGGCCGTGGCCGGCCTGGCCTCGGTCCTCCTGGTCGCCATGTGTGTGGCCGTTGCCGTCGGCGTCAACAAGAAGGGCGACGGTGAGGCCTCCTCTGGCGCTGGCGGCTCCTCTAACACTGGCGGTGACATCTCGGCCTCGACCAAGGCGGTCCACGCTATATGCTCCCCAACCGACTACAAGGAGACCTGCGAGGAGAGCCTGTCCAACGCCAACACCACCGACCCCAAGCAGCTTATCAAGGCCGCTTTCGAGTCCACCGTAAAGAACATTGAAGACGCTATCAAGAACTCCGACCTCTTCAAGAAAGCCGCCGAGAACGAGCGCACTAAGGGAGCCCTAGAAGTCTGCGACGAGACCCTCGACACCTCCATCGAGGACCTCCGGCGCTCGTTCGACAAGGTTGCCGACTTCGACATCAGCAAGGTCGGGGATTATATTGACGACGTCAAGACCTGGCTCAGTGCCTCCATCACCTACCACGAGACCTGCCTCGACGCCTTCGAGAACACCACCGGTACCATTTAATTACAAATAAACATATATATATAACCCAACATATTTACGTGAAACTAATGTACTTATTGATGGGCAGGCGAGACCGGAGAGAAGATGAAGAATCTATTAAAGACATCGGGTGAGCTGCTGAGCAACGGGCTGGCCATGGTGACCGACTTCTCGTCGATCCTTTCATCCCTCAACCTCGGTAGCTTCACGAGCCGTCGTCTCCTCCTGGCAGAGGACGGGGGCATGCCCACGTACGTGGACGCAAGGGCACGCAGGCTGATGGCGGCATCGCCGGCAAGCCTGAAGCCCAACGCGGTGGTGGCACAAGACGGAAGCGGGCAGTACAAAACGATCGCGGCAGCCCTCAACACCCTTCCCAAGAAGAGTAACGCGACCTTTGTTATCTACGTCAAGGCCGGCGTCTACAAGGAGACCGTCATCATCCCCCGAAAAGTCAACAATGTCGTCCTCATCGGCGACGGCCCCACCAAGACCCGCATCTCGGGCAGCAAGAACTACGCAGACGGCACCCAGACCTTCCATACCGCTGTTCTCGGTAAAAAAAGAAGAAAAGATGATTTTCAAATTTTTAGCAGAATTAGTAATCTCGATTGATCTCATTTCCCCTTTTTCGTGCGTGTGCAGCTGTGAACGGCGAGGGTTTCTTCGCCAAGGACATCGGGATCGAGAACACGGCAGGGCCCGAAAAGCACCAGGCGGTGGCGGTTCGCGTGTCGGGAGACAAGGCCGTTTTCTACAACGTGCACATGGACGGGTACCAAGACACGCTCTACAGCCACGCGTACCGACAGTACTACCGCGACTGCACCATCACGGGCACGATCGACTTCATCTTCGGGGATGCGGTGGCGGT